TGTATTTATACATACATATATTATATATATATATATATGTATATAATATTTGTGTATGTGTGTACACCAGGAAAACACTAATATAAAGAAGCAAGGAAGACAATATTGAGCATGATACACAACATATTAAGAAAGAATCATTGCAGGAACATGTCCTAATAATAAAGGGATGAATTTATCCAGTGAACATACTGATTCTAAGCAGAACTTCAGCATTGATGAAGCAAACACCGATAGAACCAAAAGAGAGGTAAAGTTCCAATTTAGTTGAGCACACTCATGTCTCAATGATTGATAGAACAGCGGACAGGAAGCCAGTGTGGATGAAGAGTTAAGCAGCATTATCGATCAACTGGACCTAGCTGGCACTTGTCACTCCAGTCTCGAGCAGCAGGTCGCACATATCCCACGTGCATGCAGTAGCCACCGAGACCACACCTTGGGGCCACACACACACACACACACACACACACACACCAGTAAAAACAAGTTACGTTTATTTCAGTGTATGTGGCAAGCTCACACGTAGGTCAGAGAACAATTCTGCAGGAGTCCATTCTCTCCTTCCACCAAGTGAGGCCTGGGGATCGAACCTAGGTGTCAGGCTTGGGCAGTACCTCTACCTGACAAGCTATCTCACCAACCCCTCCCTAGGAATTCAGGGAGGGAAGCATCATTTCTGATACCAAAGCAAGACAAATGCATCTCTAGAAAAGATTAGAGATGAATATCCTTCACAACCACAAAATTTTTAACAAAATATTAGCAAATTAAAGGCAGCCACAGGTTTACAAAAATACAACACAATAGAGGTTTTCCCCAGAAACAAGATTTGATCAGTATTTAAAAAGCAGTCCGAGCCTAGACTTGATGACACGTGCCTTTAATCTCAGCATTACCAAGACAGACAGACAGATCTCTGAGGTCTACATAGTGTCTATACAGTGACCAGTCAGAGATGCACAGCGAGACTGTCTCAAAACAACAACAGTAATAAATAATAAAACCAACCCATTGGCTGGACATAGTGGCACACACCTTTAATCCTAACACTTGGGAGGCAGAGGCAGAGGCAGGCGAATCTCTGAGTTCAAGGCCAGCCTGGTCTATAGGGTGAGTTCCAGGACAGCCAGGGCTACACAGAAAAACCCCGTCTCAAAACAAAAACAGCAACAAAAATACCGAAACCAAAGCAAAATTCCTTTTGGACTTAGAGAAATGAAACAATTAGTCCATATCCACACAGCTGGGAAGTAACAGAGACAAAACTCAGAACCCATGACACCACAGCACTCATTGGTATCTTATCAGCCTATGGGTGGGCTGCCTTTGAGTCAGGTATCCACCTTGGGATCAGTCAGTTTCCTTCAGTTCTGAGACTGTCTACTCAGATCCAGTGAGCAGGGCTCACAATAAGCGAGTTCCAGCTAGAAGCCGTGAGCAGCTTGTCTTCTAGGATGTCCATTTAAATGAGCCATGCTTCCCTGTCTTGTAAGAAAACCCAGAAAATGTCCACATAAAATCCACCCTAAACCAGCCTGTGTTGGCGAGTTTTGTGTCAGAAGCTAGAGTTACCCGATGAGGGGCAGACATCAATTGGCAAAATGCTTCCATTAAGATCCAGCTGTAGGGGCTGGAGAGATGGCTCAGTGGTTAAGAGCATTGCCTGCTCTTCCAAAGGTCCTGAGTTCAATTCCCAGCAACCGCATGGTGGCTCACAACCATCTGTAATGGGGTCTGGTGCCCTCTTCTGGCCTACAGGTATACACACAGACAGAATATTGTATACATAATAACTAACTAACTAAATAAATATTAAAAAAAAAAAGATCCAGCTGTAAGGCATTTTCTTAATTAGTGATTGATGGGGGAGGGTCCAGCCCATTGTGGGTGGGGCCATCCATGTGCTGGTGGTCCTGGATTCTATAAGAAAGCAGGCTGAGCAAGCCAGTGAGCAGCATCCCTCCATGGCCTCTGCATCCCCTCCTAGCTCCAGGTTCCTGGCCTGTTGAGTTTCTGTCCTGACTTCCTTCAGTGATGGGCTACAAAGTGGAAGTGGAAGCTGAAACAAACCCTTTCTTCTCCAATTTGTTTTGAGTCATGGCGTTTCATCCCGCAACAGAAACCCTAAGGCAGCCACGATTGGACTACTCCACCCTATCAAGTGAACCCATCTAATAAGTAGCTTTTGAATAATATAGTTACATCATTTTGATCCCACTCTAGAGAACTTAGCCAGTCCCATCAATGAGTCCTTCCGAATGAGATGACGGACAGGGCACCTGTTATTTCTGTATTCTGAACCACAATCCCTGACAGACCTTACAGGAGGGAAGATTCACCTTGCTTCTCGGCTTAGGTCCAACGCAGTAGGGAAGCCATAACAGAAGAAGGCATGGTGCATCAACTCAGGTCTTGGGAGGAAGTAGGGGGAACCAGGAAGTAGAGAACAGACAGGACCCAGAGGCCCGTGCAGCCAAAAGCCCACCGTAGGATCTATTTCAGACAATTAGACCCAATCTCCTAAAGGTTCCACAGCCTCCTAAAGCACGTCCACTGTCTTGGGAATATGCATTTGAAACATGAGCCTGTCAGGGGGCGGGGAACATTTGAGGTTCAAATGACAAACATCAACTCACAGGGCCACTCTAGGTACATATTCCCCGCCTCATTCCATAAATGGTACATTTAGTTTCTCAAATGGGGTTTAAAGGCTTTGTGGTTACTTTAAGTCTCTGAGAAAATGGAAGTAAAAGAAAAAGAAAATTGCAATTTTTTTTAATGGAACTGAGGTTGAGTTGATAACAAGGAATATATTCCCTACACTGGGCGTGGTGGTGTGTTCCCCAATCTCAGCACTGGGCACAGTGGTGTGCTCCCCGATCTCCACACTCAGAAAATCCAGGCAGATGAACTGAGTCTGAGGCCAGTCTGTGCTACATAGCAGGTCCTATCACCAAACAAAAATAAGACTAAACTAAAAGCACAGCATGCTATAGGCTCCTGTAGGTTAAAAGTTTAGTTCTGAACTCACATAGCCTGAGCAGAGAGAGAGAGAGACAGGCAGTCATGAGTTTCAGGTTGTTCAGAAGATGAATCAGCAGGAGTTCTGAGAGGTACCCGTTTGGTCTGTTGAAGTTGGGGAGACATTTCCTTAGGGTCCTTGCCATGGGTGCACAGGGCTCCTGACACACTCTGGGTAGTCATGTGACCCCACCCTCCCATCAATCCCAGCTCAGAAGTTAGGATGAACCTGAGACAGTTTGTGTATCTGTGTAGTTGGGAAATGAGCTCCTATTCTCTCAGGCTCAGACGCATCTTCACAAGGCCATGCTGGAGACCAACAGAGTGTGCTCCCCCAAACCCTGAAGTTTAACTGACAATAATAACACTAGCTTGACTTCTCCACCTGGTGCTGGACACCCGCGGGGTTGATCCCAGCAGAAATGGAGGTGAGATTAACAGACTAGCAAATAGAGCAGTAGTCCCGGAGCCTTCCCCAGCTGTGGGGCTTCACTTCTGCCCCCCTCTGCCCCATGACTCACGGGGCTTATGAGCAATCCTCATATGCCTGATTTAGAGGACTTACTCACCCTTTAGAGACAGACTTTAATGCAATAAAGCGAACGGCAGCAAGTGGGATGCGGCTTAGCACAGCAGTCCAGCCTGCAGCTGGCGGCCTATTCCCCAGTTCTCCCTCCAAGGTCCTCTAGCACCTGCACAGTAAGTTACCAGGTGATACTCCAGACTGAGCAGAGGCTTAAGGGATATGGGACCTGGAAGCGGTCATGAATCAGGCAAGCCAAGCCCCAGGCTGGCTGCAGATTGGCTTCAAAACAGGAGTTAGGGGAAGGTGAGGAATTCTTCGTCCCTGTCCATTGCTCTACACAGAGTAAGACTTGGATGCGTTAAGGGACTGACTCAAAGTGATTAGGTCTTCTTGGTCTGGGTGGCCTTCCCACCTGCAGCCTTTCCCAGGGGCCCCTGGAGCTCGATTTGGGGAAAGGAAAGGAAGATAACAAGGTCCCACGCAGTCTTAGGGCTAGTCAGCGGCTGTCTTGCTGTTTGCCAGCAAAGTGCACATTGGGGTAGCTGGAGACCTTTGGACCCTTCTGAAGTGAGAGGTTTGGCTGGAAGCATCAGCTGAGCGGGATGGCACAAAAGCCAACATTTTCCTGTTGGTCTGGTTAGGGACCAGGCCCCGAGTCTGGAACTTAGTCTGTACCAGCCGCAGTTGATTCCGTTTCTTCCTTCCTCCACTGATGCAGAGGAAATTACTCAGAAGGCAAGTTAAGCTTCACTTGGATTTGAAACCCACTCACTAAGGGATTGACCTGGGAACTCCGGAGGGAGTTATCTGAAAGAGTAAAAAGAGGGGGGCAGGCCATTAAGGGGAACCTTTATCCCTCAGCTATCCGAGCCAGCCTTTCCTGCGTCTACCATATGCCAGGCAGGGCAGAGGGGGCTGCCACAGCCTGGCATCTGGGTTTTCCAGAAAGAAGGGCATTGTCTTTCCAGGAACTTTGCAGAGCATCAAGCTCCCTTTCAAGTCCACTTCAGGGAAGAAGCGAAAGTTCAAGCAGGCTGTTTAAGGAGAGCCTAGGCGGGAGGTCTGCCCACCTTGAGGATTTTTCTAGCAACATTCTTGTCCTTGTTAAAACCAGTCAAGAGCAAACAGAGAGTGCTTCACATCCACCACCCCATCCTGCCATCTATCTGGAAATAAATGGAGGGAGAGATGCTCAACAGTTGAGAGCACACTGGCTGCTCTTCCAGGACCTGGGTTTGATTTCCAGCACCCATGCAGCAGCTCACCACTGTCTCTAACTCCAGTGTCTCTTCTGGCCTTTGCAGGTACTGGGTGTGCATGTGATGTACAGACCAAACACCCACTCATATAAAACAAAAAATTAAAAATAAACACACAAAACAGTAAGGCAGGCTTAAATCTCCGCCTGAAAAGCATTCCCTCCTACTCAAGTCACCACTAACAGCAACCGCACTTTTAAGTTATTTTTATTTTGCACTACGTAAAAAACAACAACCAGCAACATACTGCTTTTCTTCACATTCACATGGATTTTTGGGGACTTATTGCCTTTCCCCCAGAGAAATAACCTATCAAAGAACAGAAGTAGTACCACATTGCAAAAAATACAAACCCCAGGATCAGTAGCTTGAAGACAACCCCCCAGGAGCAGGGAGGGAAACAAAGTCACGACGGACAACGACTCAGTACACAAAGGACGCTAAACTGAACAAGTCCTGTCACTGCCCCAGAACACAGCGCGTGCCCCCTTTCTCCAGGCACTTACTGCCACCTCCTCAAAGGGGTGATTTTTTGGTCTAGGGTCTGACAGCAGAGTGGCTTTAAAGAGAGATTCAACGGAACAGGTTCAAGTATGCACAGAAACTATGCCGGAGTCCATGGTCACAGAACCCTTGGTGAGAAAGAAACCCTGACTTTCCAGCATCTTCTTCAGACAACAGCTTTCATGGAACCCAAGACAGAATCTCAACACTTCTGGGTTCAGACCAGCAGGTACTTCTGTCTTGACAAATCTAGCAGGGTTAACTTTTGTGACTGGGTGGTGACCCGCGTTATTCCCTGAAGTGACAGACACAGACAAAAAGTTTGCCAAAGTTCAAAAAACAGAGTGAAAATTGTGCTTCCTTCAAAATGAATGGGCCTCGTCACTGCCTTCTCTCCTGGTCCAGCGGTGTCTCGCTCCCACTGGGCTGTGGGGATTTATTGCCTTGCGCTTGAAATGAAAAGGCGAACTTCTGAGATGCACGGACTGGGAGGTCCTGAGTGGGCAGGGGCTCTGGGAGCGCAGCGGTCAGCAAGCGCCCCGCTGGAGGCATGGCTTGGCCTTCCTACAGTCCCGAGAAGCTATGCTCGGGATCGGTCCGAAGTGCACCTGCAAGCCTGGTGACCACCACTGTCTCAGTGGGGCAGCGGACAGAGAGGTCTGCAGTATTGCACATGTATGAAATGTCCACAAGTTTAAAAAAACAAAAATCACAGTTGTTCTTGGGGATTCACTGGCAGCCAATCCCAGTCTCAGCAGGACGTGGCCGTGGCCACAGGGCTCCTGTGGAGCTCCGCGACTGTGGAGTGGGTGGGCACCGGTGCCAGCACTGAGGTAGGAAATGTGCAGTAGGCACCCTGCATGTCAGGGCTCAGTGTCTGTAAATGGTCTATAAACGAAGAGCTGGCTGCCTCCCCTTGGCAGGAGGGAGGCTGGGGGGTGGGGGTGGAAGGCAGGGTCTCTGACTCATACTGAAGAAGCTGTCCCATGAAGCCAAAGTTGGGAGAGATCACGCTCCTCCTCTGCTTGACGTAGTCGAAGGCCTCCTTCAGGCGAAACTGCTTGGTCTTCATGAGGTACGCCATGCAGATGGTGGGCGACCGGGAGACCCCAGCCTCACAGTGGACGAGGACCTTTCCTCCTTCTTCCCTGACACAGTCTGGAAGGGAGCGAAGAGACGGGTGGTCGGTCAGAACTAGGATCTAAAGGGAACACCAACTGCAGGACACACGAGGGACAACCTGTACAACCTGACAGTCCTCCACAGTGCAAGTTCAAGGGCCACGGCCCTCAAGCTGAGCACGGCATGTATCTAGAATCCCAGCATCTGAGGGATGATGGATGGGAGGACCACAAGTTTAAGGCAAGCTTGGGCTACAAAATGAGACTGTAATAGAGCTTGAAATTCCAACAATATATGTCCCCAGGTAGGACTTTTATCCCCATATGAAACTGTTGCCCAGGGCCCTTGCACAGATCCTTTCACTGGCAGGGCAAGACCCTGAAACGTCTTCTCTAGACACAGCCTCTCAATCTGTGTTCTAGGTTCGGCTCAAAGGGGCATGGGAAAATCCTTAAAATCACATGCAGGTTTCTTTATTGGGCATATGTCATTCCCTGAGTGTCTAAGGCTCAGAGACTTAGTCTCTCCAGTTCTGATTCTAATGGTGACGACACAGGCCCATACTGGAAGAGGTCTTCTGGATTCCCTGAGCACCCTGTCTTGCTGTGACAGGGCAGGATGCTTGGTGAGGTTCCAGGGTTCTCACCACCAAACATACAACAAACAGTGCCCAGCCACTAATTACAGTCCTGGCTAAGTGACGCTTACTGGATGGATATAAACGGCTTCTGCAAACCCTACCTTGCTCAACAAAGGGGAGGCACTGCTACAGAGTCACCATCAGTTAGCGTTAGCAGTCTCTTGTTTACTATGACCAAGTGTGCATGTGTGTGCGCGTGCATCAAGGGTCCTTTGTTCTGCTCTCCCCCACCTCCCTCCCCAAAAAACTGCTAAAAATAGGGAAGGTGAATATATGTCAAATCAAAATCACACAAGTCTCCCCAATTGCCTCTCTTGATAGTGAGGAAGTAATCACCTCTCGGGAAGTTAGATGTAGCTGTAACTGGTACTCTGGAAGACCACAGTATTCAAAAAATGAAGGGAAAATGTTACTTCCTTTACCACCTTCCACCCATATGCTTAAAGTTCAAGAAGTCTGAAAATGACTCTGTATCTAAAAGATCAAATTTCTAAGGGGTCAGGGAGGAACCTTTGAGATTTCCAATCCGAACAACAAACCTCAGAGCATGCCCAGAGGAACTCACTGGAGGTACAGCAACACATCAATACAAAGGGAATAATAAAGAGCTGGCCCCCAACAAAAGTTGGTTCAAAGCCCAGACTCCCAGTCCTTGGGATTATGGGGTCAAGGGCAATTAGAGTTGTGCCTCACTTCCCCTCCGCTGTGAATGTTTAGTGGACTACTGCCACATTCAAGGACCCAAAGGATATGGAGTGCACCGTTTCCGGAACTCTTTCCAAACCTCAGGCTCCTGCTACCCACAGCATCATCCTCCCCTGGATGTCAGTGCTTATTTGGGTACAAGGCTTTTGAAACCCTGTGGGACTGTGTCCACAAATATAGACACAACATACACACAGGATGTGGAGGGAGGTTTCTCAGAACTGGACGGTGGCAGGTTGCATGACCTCATTCGGTAGCTATCCAGGTAATTAAGTAACAGGCTGAGAAGGAACCCTCCCAAGGGCATGAAGAAAAGTCAAGAGTTCCCATCTAGAACCCACCATTCTTGGCTGCTTCTCAGGCTGCAAGAGGATTCTCAGCCTAGAGACTTGGGCGACAAGAAAAGCCTCAGTCTGTGCCTTTGACGAGCTTGTCAAGATTTCTTATGACACTGTGTGTGGTAAGCAGGCCCTTCCACGTGGCTGAAGGGAGCCTTTAATTGCTGCCTGCACTAAGTAATTACCCTTGTGCCTAACACCTGCCTTTAACAAGACATAGGAAAATGATGTCTCAATCCCAGCAACTATGCATGTTAAAGAGAAAGAAGGAAGAGAAAAGGGGGGCAGGATCCTGGGTGTGTTTGTACATCGGAGACAGAGAAGTCAGGCTAAACACAATGGGGGAAGCAATCTGGAATGCGAGGGCAATCAAGGCAACACTGAGAGCCCAAGCTCTGTCTGGGCAGAGGGACTAGAGGCCAAGGCTCCAGCCTCCAGGCTTGTATGATGGGAAGACAATAACTGCTTCGCAGGATACAGGGATTCAAAAGATGCCAAGTTTTCTGCGCACAAGGCACAGGGTTTTGAGTCAAGTGCTATCTTTAATCCAGAGTTAGTTGAAAATGCAAAATCAATTGCCTTCAAAGCTGTTTGCCAGAGCTATGCAAAGCTGCTGGGGCCTTCAAGGCTTGGTGCGTAAGGAGTGCTCCCTCCATCCTTCTGTTTGCTTCAAAAATAGCCTAACTTACGTAGAAGGAGACTCCCCCTGCAGAACATTACACATGGCTGCACTCTGCTCCCGACAGCTGAAACAATAACAAGAGCAGCAAAGTACTGCCATAAAATGATATTAATTCATTTATCTTGTAAACTAAAACTCCTAACAAGAGTAACTCGGCTCCTCCCCTCGCCTTTGTGATGGCTAAAAGGCCTGCTCTTTGCCCCAACTCTTCGGGCTGCATAGACAAAACCCTTCTTAAACTGGGCATGGTGGTAGGTTCCTGATCCCACCACTTGAGAGCTGGGAGAAGATCAGGGATTCCAAGCCAGTCTTGGTTGCATAGCACATTTGAGGCCACCTAGGGCTACAGAAGTTGCTGTTTCCAAAAACCAGACTCCTTTCTTTCCAAGACGGTAACCATACCAAGATATCAAAAGAAAAGAATACATATTCCACTCCAAGGAGACTCCCAAAACAATGGAGATGGGGTGGCTAAACCTACCAATAAAATCTATTGCTTCTTGGAAGTGGGAGCTGATGTCAGCTGTGTGGCTGTCCTCCACAGGGATCCATTTGTAGTGCAGGTGGGTGGTGCAGGCCTCGGAGGTCCGGCGGGAAACATTCAGCAGGGCGGTGATGTGCAGGTTGGCGAGGAACTCGCACTTGGATGCATGGTAGGCACTTCCAAGGTAGAGGAAGGGAAGAATTTCAACTGGGCCACCCTGGAAGCAGGGACAGAGGACAACCAGGAGACATTAGATTAGCTCATTCATTTGGGAGAAGGCAAACAAAAGCCCTGACCTATTTGTTTAAGTGGGAGGTTCCCTTTCTGGTTCCCAGGTAGAGAGTTCAGAGCCAGGGCAAGTCAGCCAAGAGTGGGTGGCATCTCCATCTTGGCAAGCCCTCTACCCTTATGACTCAGTGACAGCAAAATTCTCAGGGACCAGGAGCTTAGAAGTCACACAGCAGCCTTCCGATGCTAACTTCCTGGGTGGGAAGTGGTCGGAACTGAAAGGGCTCTTGTTTAAGTTAAACTCCCCTGAAACAACCAGGGAAAGCCAGTGGACCCTGCAGGGCAGCTTCCTAAGCCACAGTGAACATGGAAAATGGTTTGGCAAAGTATCCTCCCTTTACAGCGTTTTATATCACATACTGCATAAACCCTGACACATGGCCATCTTCATTTTAGGAATGGCAAAGCTGCCGTTCCACCTCTCCCCAAAAAAAGTATGTTTCTTAGAATTAAAAATAACCCCCACCTACCCAGAATCTAGACTCAGGAAAGCTGTTAGACCACAGCAGAGGGGCTTCCCCACCCCCGACCTTCACATGGAGTGTAGGAGTTAGACAGGGTGAGGTCATCGCCCACACCCCAGGCTTCTAGTTCAGAAGCTCCTACAGAGGCAGAGCCAAAGACCGTCTACCCCCAGGTGAAACAGAGCTCTAGGCTAGACAGACTCAGTAATCTGCGTGCATATACTGGGTTCTAAGCTGCCAAGCAAAGGCCACTGACTGTTGGAGACCACCCCCCCCCACACACACACCATTTCCTGCCCCAGAAACGGTAGAATGGAAATTCTTAGCCAGACCCATAGTAAGGAGAAAGGTAAGGGACCAAGAGATGGGGCAGCAGGCAACCCCCCCAGCACTTGAGGTATTTAAGCAAAACCCAATTCAACTACACAGAAGTAACAGAATTTATCAAAAGGGTAAAGCGCACACACACACACACTTTTTGAGTTGGGGTCTCATGTAACTCAGGCTTGTCTCAAACTCTACACACAGCTGGGCTGGGCACAGGGTGCATAGCTTAATATTCTTGCCTCTGTTTCCCAAATACTAGCATTATTAGGCATGTGCCTCCGCACCCAGTTTCTGTGGTATTAAACTGAACGCCGGGTCCAGTGTGTAAGCAAGCACTCTACCAACCGAGTTACACACACATCTACACCAGCATTTTTATCCACACCCGCGTTTCAGGGGCTTTAGATACCTAGAGGTACTAATCTTAAAATAAAAGATCTGTAAGATAGGTAATAATGCCTTTTACAGACACTTTCTTTCTTTCGCTTTTTTGTTTGTTTGTCTTGTTTTTGTGTGTGTGTGTGTGTGTGTGTGCGCGCGCGCGCGCGAAAACAGTCCTAGCTGTTTCGGAAATAGCTCTTGTAAACCAGGCTGGCCTTGAACTCACAGAGACCCGTCTACCTCTGCCTCCCTAGAATTGGGATTAAAGGCGTGCGCCACTACCGCCCTGCCCACAGACCATTTCCTGAGGCTCAGATGGGATTAAATAATGCCAGAGACAGTCAGAGGTAGAGCGGGACCTATTTCAGGTAAAAATGAGAAGTAAATATTTTCCTTCTTTCTCGCATTTCTCTAGAGATTCTCTAGGAATAAGTCCACTTGCACCCCTCCCCTACACACACACACACACACACACACACACACACACACACACACACACGCGGCAGCCTTCTAGAGGCAGTGTGGTGCAGAGGTTAGGGACATGGACTCGACATCTGTGAGAGAAGAGCTCGGGCGGAGGGCTAGCTCCAGCAGCTTCTCTAACCCCTGAATGAAGAGGGGACAATTTCTATCCTCTGAGGATAACTGGTAAGACAGAAAAGGAATAATGGCTGCATTATTAACTTGTACATTATGCGACTACCATCTTTAGAATCCTGGGGAAGACACAGGGCAGATCCTGAAGCCCAGCAATCCCAACAGCTCTGGTCTTGGCCTGAGAGCAGACTGTCCCCTGCACCCAGCCCAGCGCAAGCACTCCACTGGTTAGAAACTAGAAAAATGGTAGAGATGGTAGACTCTGCTTGGGAAAGAGGCCCGAGATTCAAGTCTAATTCCATTCTACCTTTGATCAGATATAGACCCACCCCATCCCCACGGCACCAATAGCCACCCCCTCAAAGAAGCAGGCTGGACACTACCAAAAGCTCCCTTGAGAGCCTAGAAAATGCTGATACACCAGTCTGGGATACCATCCAACGTTCCCTGCAGCTGGCCCATCACACCCCTGAAATTCTATTTCTCTCCTTTTCCGAATCTTCTGTTCAACTCAAGAGGAAGACACCAAAGCTGTCAGAAAACCCGGAGACTATGACAGCTTGTCTGGCCTCTCTCAGTGTACGGGGGTTTCCCGGATGAGGGCTGAGGACACATCAGAGCACCCCACCCTCAGTGGGCCAAAGGTCTACAGTGCTTTCACAACCTGTTGTCAATTCCTACTTCTCTTTCACTTTCTGAGAAAGAGGCAGAACACAACACCACACACACAGACAACACACACACACACACACACACACTCACACCGCATCCAGCTTAGATACGTGCTGGGGCTTCAGACTCACCCCACATGCTGATTTTTCTTGAAAGAAGACAAACATAAGCTATCACTGGCATTTGGCCAGGCTAAGGCTTCCAGTGACCAAGAGTCCCATTAGAAGCAAGGCCACCCATTTGTATTTAGAATTCCAGGGCCTGAGTTTTGCCCATGGCAGGGAGCTGGCATTTTTTCAGCCATATCTTTATTAGGTTTTGCTATGTTCTTTGTTTTCAGCAAAGACTGAAAAACTTCCATGTCAGATGTGTAGGCCAAAGGGCAGATGGGATGGATACAGGGATCCTGAAGGAACCAGAGCAGGGGATTGAAGAGGGGCCACCTAAGTCTGGGGCTGCTGTGGACTGGTGGCTGGAGTCTTTGCAAATGTCAGACATTCCAATGGCCAATGATAAGAACCTTGCCCTCTGTGAGATGGCAAGGTGGTGCCTGAACTCTAGTTTCTGTCAGGCCTGGACTTTCGCCTGCTTTTTCCCCACCCTTCCCCATCATTTTATAGGTTTTATAGCCTCTTGTCAGTGAGGTGTATAAAGTATACCTTTTTAAAGCAATAATAATAATAATAATAATAATAATAATAATAATAATAAAACAACCAACAAAACCCCATATGCTTACAGAAACATCTAGCCTTCTAGAATCTCCATTTCCTCTGGCACCAGAATGTATGAAAATAAGTACCAGAAACCTTCAGGAGTCGGCCAAGGATGGGGCACAAGCCTACAAACCCAGCCTTTGCGGGGCTCAAGGAGTTAAGTCAAGGCTGCCCTGGGCTACACATACACAGCAAGCCTGTCCTCCCAAAACAAAAGAGAATGGGGCTAGGGAGTTGGCTTGGCAGCTAAGAGCACTTGTTCTTGCAGAGGCCCTGGGTTTGACTCCCAGCACCACACGGTGACTCTCAAGCCTCTGTAACTCTAGTTTGTGACCTCTGCTGTATGCACGTGGTGCAAATGCACACATGCAGGCAAAACACTCACACACATAAAATAAAACAAATCTAAAAGGCGAAACGAAACGAAACAACACAGGAAGCCTCAGAGTCAGCTCTGAATGTCTTCAGGGAAACCTAAACCAGTATTTTCAAGCTTCCCCAAACTGCCCAAGACAGCTAATAACAATGTTCTCTCTCACTTCCTCTCCTCTTCAGAAGCTGCCCAGCATCCTGTGGCCCAGGGACCCTAGTGAACCGTGTGTGCTGGGAGACTGCTCACTCGCTCTGCGATGAGAACCCGTGTGCACAAGCCACAGCAGCTCCGTCAGCACAGCAGCCCGAGTCAGGAGTCGGGAGTCACATACCTGGTCATAAGCTGGCCTGAGGGTGACACTGAGGATGGGCTTTCCACACTGGCTGAGGAGGCCCCTCTCACTCTCAGTCTTCTCCTGGGAAACGGGCTTCACATCCACACAGCACTCGGGATATTGTGAGGAGAAGGTCTCGTACCCCCCTTCAAAAGCAAGCAAACAAACAAACGAAAGTGAGACAGGCAAAGGCACTGGGTTCTTGGACTGTCAGAAAACATCCATGGCGACTACGTGAGGGCTACAAGCCCGCTAAGGCAAAGCAACTTCTGAGCACCTAAAACCAGCTCCGTGGGTAGAGCCACAGAACAGAGGGAGAGAATCAACTCCTGCAAGTTGTTCTCCGGCCCCCACATGTGTGCTATGACAGACGCATGCTCAATAAAAACATAATTAAATAAATGTATTTTAAGAAAACTGAACAAAACCACCACTTCTAGAATAAAAAAGTGGACTTCCCTCACTTGTATACATACACACACTCCTAAAAGCCTGTCATCTGGGGCTAGAGGGATGGAGAGCAGTTAAGAGCACTTATTGCCTTGCAGAGGAACCTGGGGTTCAGCTTGGAGCACCCACATGACATCTCACAACACCTGTAATGCAAGTTCCAGGAGGAGTCTTAACACCTTATTCTTCCCTCCTCGGGATCCTGTACACACATGGTGCACATATACCCACACATACACACATAAATAAATACGTCAAGTTTTTAAAGGTCTCTCAAAGAGAGGCAATGATTAACTTTCTGTGTCTGTCAGAAGCAGCTTATCTGGCATTTGGTAAATATTAACCATATCCTCTCAGAAAACAAAAGCAATTTTCTTCTCTTGTTTACCTAAAACAAAGGCATGATTATGTGAACTTTCATTGATTTCTAAGAAGACTCCTAAACTAGCTTTTTCCCTAGTCCATTTGCTCTAGGCAAAAATCATAGCTGTACCCACCTCCATTCATAGAAGCGTGCCCTTTCTCACTCCTAAGGTCACTGACAACCCCTTCTATAGGTCCAATTTAGTCACACATCAAGTTAATACACTCTAAACCAAATGGAAAAACACAGACTTCTGGGCATGGGAGGATGCTGGTATTACATTTCAATTTCTCCAGAAGGCTCCGGTGAGGTCAAAGGGCATCCTGTAGAGCTGAGCATGGCAGCACATGCCTTCAATCTGAGGAGGTGTTTAGGAGGGTCATGAGTTGAAGGCCAGCCTGGGCTATATGTAAGACTCTGCCCCCACACCAAGGTATAAAAATGACCAGTAACAGAAGTGCACCCACATCAATAGTCTCAAGACCAGTGGGGAAGAACCAGGAAATCTGGCCTGGAGGCCCACAGAAAGCCAAGGCATTGTAGGTAGACAAAACATCTTGCTTAGGAATCTTCCGTTTCACCAACAGCAACCCGAGGTACTTCTGAGAGTCTCCGGAAAAACCACCTATCATTCACTAGTCTCAAGGGTTCAAGCCACCAGTAACACAAGCACACTGCGACAAGGGCCTTCCCAAGGAACTCCCTTCGTGCTCTGTCTCTGGGTGCTAGATGGGCAGCCCAGTAAGAGGGCTCCCTCCTGCAGTCAGCAAAGTGTTAATGGATTAGATGGCAGTCTCCTATACCCGCCTGGGAGCTGCAGCCCATTCCTAGAATGAGTCATCTTGTCATTCAGGCTTCCTCTCAGCTTCTGCCCCTGCCCCCATTTAGTACCCCCAAATCTCCACTAGCTCACTAGCCCTGGAGAAACTGCTGGTCCTCCACAAATGCTCATGTTCTCTGCCATGGAAACAGGGGGCTTGGCTAGAAGGGGAAGGGAGCAGAGGTGAAGGCTTTGGTGGCTTAGCTTCCCCTGGCAGCCCCTTTCTTCTAGGAGGCAGAGTGAATGTTATACCAACCCACACAGCCTTGGGGGCGGTGGAGGAGGGGGGTTGCATTTCATAGTCAATAAATCACGCGGGTGGGCCTGGCTTCCACGGTTTGGGTTCCAGGAAACAAAATGACAGGTTTGTGGGCATCTGGACAAAGAATAGCCCAGGCACTCCCAAAGTTGAGGACAAGGCTTCGGGGAAGAGAAGCCTTCAGGCCACCTCATCTCTATGCCTTAGACAGACCATTTAAGAGCTGGTAGGCAGGAGAGTAGAGAGAAGTGCTGGTTAGGGCAGGAGACTGCCTGCCAGTTAACAAAATAAAACAGGCAAAGTGTCTCCGTGTAGCTGAAGGACAGATAAACAACAGGGCTTGTCTCTTCAAACTGGGGTCAGGAGATTAGGTCTCTGCCCTCCACCCACTCCCACCGGAGGTGTGGAGACAACATTCCTCTGCGCTGCCTCACTCCAATTGCAAGAGTGTTAGCAATTCCTCCAGCTGCTTCGACCTCCTTCAGACATCCCTGCACTGCAGGGAACAACACACACAGACGCTGGGGCACATACAGACGCTGTGTGAGCGCTCCAACTACCCAACTGGTCCTCATCAGCGCGAGAGGCGACTGGAGGAAGTGTGGCAGGCCTGGCGCCAACATCTGGATGCCATCAGGTCAAACCCTGAATGCCCATTTGGACACGTGCTATGTAAGAGAAAGGCATTCTCCCCTGCAACAGTTTGAATTCAGCAGTTATAAGGGTAGCAATTTCCACTGAAATCCCAAATGCACACCACTTTTGATCTTAGCGTTTTTATTGTCTGAATGAAAGACAAGACTGCACAAGCCAGAGCACCTTAGGACGACATCTCCCCTCTCCCTCACACAGCCAGCTGCCCGGATCATCCCCGGGCACTGTCTATCACCAAGCAGCATGGATGTGTCCAGAACTAGCTGGGTAAAAGAGGCCGACTGGGGAAATGGATGGTTCCAGTTGGTTTAAAAGCTATCCACGAGGGAACTTGTTTTCGGGTGTGAGGAAGCCATGCATCTCTTTATACACACTTTGTTCACCTGAGTACACATTACTTCATTTTTAAAAAGTGAGAGACCTCTGCAGAGCCTAGAGAAGGCCACCCTTCCACACCCTGCAGCTGCTATCTCCCAGTGGGATCAACAAGGTACAACAGTTAGCAAGAGGTGTTAATAGATAAGGAGCTCTGGAATCCTCCTGGCCTGCAGTGTGTGAAATTTCAGGTTGCATGGCTTTGAAACAGGGTCTTAGCTCACTGCACCCGAATTCTGAAGCACATCAGGCTTCCCGCGCCAGGTACTCAGTCAACAGAGCTGTGGGGGCCCTATCCATTCTGCAATCACCTCTGCACCCCGGCCAGGGTTCCCACACGTTTGAGGTTAGAAGGCAAGAACAGTCACAGGAAATGACCCAGAAATCAATGATGTGGGGTTTGAGAATAAATCACCCACCCACAACCGGAAGCCAAAGTTATCTCGCCAGCAGGTGAAATGGTCGGGCCTGGAGGCAGCCCTTGAAGGCCTAAAATCAAAGGCCACAGAATCTCCACCACATCTCACAGCCCCCGCGGCACCTCTCCTAACCGGGCTGGCCGGTTGGCAGTCTCTGAGACGGTCCCAGGGCTAATCCCAGCCGGGGAAGAAAGGATAAAAGGGGTGGGAAAGCTGTCAGCTCCAAATTAAGCTCGAGAAAGGCCTAGGGTGGGAGAAGGAGGCTGGAGGAAAACAATAAAAAGCAATAGAGGGAGAGGAAGGGGAGGGACTTGCCAGGGTCAAAAAGGCAGGAGGCCCACCAAGACAGAGCCGAACGTACAGTAATTGTCTAGGCGGGAAGAAAGGGGACACCGCGGCGCCACTCTCCCGGGGGAGGGTCTCGACTTGCTTGATCGCGCCAGATTTGTTAGAAACATTCCGACCCCCGTGGTCTGCAAACGGCGCCAGAGGCCAGCACGGGCCCTCGGCCCCCGGAACTAAGGAGCACGGCCGGCTGCACCTTCCCAGCCCACCCAGCCCAGGGGACCGACAGGTTGCCAGACGCTTTCGAGGAAAACGGGGGTGGGGAGAAGGAAGCCCCGGACGCTGACGTTCGCAAGGACCTCCCAAGCGCACGCGAAACCCCGGGGCGCACATTCCCTCGAGTTGTGACTTTCCCCGGGCCAGAGTTCCCACGCAGCGAGGGAACCCGGGGCCCCGGTGTCCAGGCCCAGGGTGCAGGGGAAGGAGGGCAGACGGCAAGGGTCCCGCGGCTCCCCGCACGAGCTCACCTTTAAGGAAGTAGACCCGCGGGCCGGCGGGCAGGCAGGCCAGCAGCGAGGTGAGCACGACGCGCGCGGCGCTCTCCTTCCGCAGCTTCTGCCAGTGGCGGCTGCCCTGGTCCAGCACGACCACCGCCGCCACGCCGCCGCCGCCCTCCTGCAGCAGCCGAGCGCGCGCCGCCTCGTCGGGCAACACGTAGCGCGCCGACACCGCGCCGCCCCGGGCCCGCCGCAGCACCACCGAGTTGAGGTTGACGTTGAGCGAGCCGCGCACGCTCGACGCGGCGAAGTCCAGGTAGGGCCGGCAGTCGAGCACCACGCAGCGCGCCTCGGCCTCCGGCCGGAGCATCTTGCGCAGCTGGCGCCCGTCGAGCGACGTGACCTTCATGCCGCCGCCACCCAGCGGCCCAAGGCCGGCGTGGACGAGCGGAGCACCCCCGGCGGGGCTTGTGGCCTTGCAAAGACCCGAGCCCGGCCGGCGCGAGGGGCCGCGCGACGTTGTTCTTCACGCCCCGCGAGCTCCGCACCAGGCCCCGCCACTCGCCGCCCAGAAAGCCGGGGATTCCGCCGGCAGCGCAGCGTTTTATGTGAATGAGTGCGCGTCCTGTGACGTGACTGCCCATATAAGGCCAAATATGGGTGTTTCCCCGCCCCTCGGCGTTGGCCACGCCTCATGGGCGGGGCGTGCGGGCACCCGCCTCCACCCCGAAAGCGGGATGGAGGGAGGGTGTCTTAGTCAGAGCGAGAAAGAGGAAGTGGCGGGCGCCTGCTCCCTCTCGGGGGGCCCAACGCGGAGAGACTCACTCACACATCACCCGGCACTGCCGGTGGGCTGTCAGGAACGCCAGCCGGCCGAGGTGACCCACGCTGTGCGGGAAGAGGAGGAAGAAAATTCGGTCGGAACCCGAGGGCCGCGCTCGGGAACCTCTGGGGCCTCCGGGTGGATCCCGAGCTGACTCCAGTCTAAGGAGGTGGCATCTGAGATGAGCCGCGGTGGGACATGGCTCGACTCTATTAATCGAGGCTTCTAACACGTTTTCCTCACTTCTGTTACGTTTTCATTTTCCTTAATAAAAAAGTTCCGGAAAGTAAACAAACAAACCAACCCAAAGGGGAAGTTGTTAGAATCAAACGGATTCTGTCTCATAAGGATTGACCGCCCTCTTCTGTTGTCTCTCTCCATAGCTAAGAACAATCTACCGTCAGAGCTAACAAACAAGAACAACGCACCAATTTAGGAGCTGTTCTGGGAAACCTGTCTTGAACCCAGTAGCAACACTGTCCACAGGGATCCAACAGAGGGGATCAGTCCCATAAACTTGTCCAGGTGGCTTCTGGATTTGGGGGATTATGGTGTTATGGTGGATCAGTGTAATCCCAGGCTGTCTACTCCTGCCCTTCTCTCTGGAGCTTCCTGCGCCCGCCTCCATGGGGGGGGGGGAGGAGGCTAGGTGTGATTCGCCCCTCCCCTCTGCAAGTGTCTATTGAGGACTTTGCTAGATCCCAGGACACGTGGGCTGCAAATGCATCTATAAGCCCTTTGCCAACCATTTTACTGTTATCTTTTGATGAGAAAACGTCTGTCCATTAGAGAGGGGTTTATTTACAACGGACATAAGGGAACGAGATTTTTTAAGAGAAAGCAGAAATCAATTTCTGAGATCAAATCAATCCATCTCAACAACAGGAATAGCTGACATTGTTTCTGGGTCATAGCTGCATTCAACCAAAAGCCCTGTGCTGAAAATGATAAATGAGACCCTGCCTGAGATCCCAGCATTTGGGGGTGGGTCGAGAATAAAAGTATCACAGAACTAAGGCCAGTCTAAATGACATAGACCCTGTCTAATAAAACCAAAGCAAGCAAACAAAAGATGGCTGGCCTAACCCTGGTAGTGGGGGTCACACTGATGCCATAGGATGGCTTTTGTCTGGGGTTATCTATAACAGCTTCCCCCATAACCTGCTCTTCTTCCAGAGGGTTCTGTCTGTGTAACCAGCATCTCCACCCCCAGGCATTTCATTCTAGGGCCTCACAGATAATATGGAGCAGCCACAGGGCCCAGACTCTGTGAGGAGCTTGATAACACCACTGTAGGCAGGACTCACTCCAAGAGCCCCAGAGAGGCCTGGCCTAGTCTCAGGTCTCTAGGTGTCTGTGTCTGTTCACCCACGGTGGGTGGGCTAGGGTGGAGGCTAAAGAAAGTTTCTCAGAGATGACAGCTAAGACAAACTTCCAAGAATGAATAGAAACCACTTGACGTTAAGGAAACAACAAAACAACCAAGCAGACAAAAAAAAAAAAAAAGAAAAAAGCTGGAATTGCATGGTTGATGGCAGGAATCCTGTTTTTTCCTTCTCTTTGACTCATTTCCTTTCCCTGATTTTTGTTTACATTGTTTATGATTTGCTAATTGTATTTATTATTATTATAATTTGTGTTGTTGAGGCAGGGTCTTATTTATCATTTGATTGGCAGTTCTGTTCCTGTCCTCCCCCCACTCCCACTTCCCGACATGGAGGAAAGATCAAGCTGTCTCTTCCCAGCTTCCCTGGATTTCAGGATCCTCCGGTCCCCACCCAACACTGACTCTGTAAATAGATGCTTTCGTTTGTATTTTATTCTATTTCTTTTCTTGGTTGCTTTGTATGTGTGTCACGGTGCCTGTGTGGAGGTCAGACGACAACTTACAAGATAACCTTTCTTCCCTTCCACCTAGAGATCAAACTCTGCCTCTAAGCCTTCACCCCCCATCTCCTCAGCCCATGAAAACATATTTTAGGTGGCACTTCTCCTCACAAAGTTCAGGGTACCTGGAGATCATGATGAAGGCCAGGCCAGGTTGGACTGGCCCCACAGAGCTGCAGCCTGGAGCCCTGAGCCCCTCACTCATTGCCGCTCAGATTTGTACAGCAGAGATGGCTCAGCTGAAAGTTAAATTCCTGGTGGCTCACACTAAGATCTAGAATTCACACCAGCCAATCTGGACTGCCCTCCTTCAAGAAGCATGAATTACATACCTGAAGCCATACCTCCTAATGTAAGAAGGCATCCACAGGCCTCTTGACATAAGTTTCGGCTATTGACTTCATTGGCTGTAGTGAGCTGAGTGGGTTAGCATTTGGGGTTAGCAGTGAAGCAGCGCTGGAGGGTGGAGGGTTTATATGAGAAGGGAAGTGGGATCCAGACTGAGGTCAGGGAGAGGGACGGGGGTTTCTATAGGTAGTTGATTGAGTTGGTAAGGACTTTCTTGAACTTGGCCATGATCGTAGGTGTGAAGAAGCCACACAGAAGCAGGGCGGTGGTGGCGCACGCCTTTAATCCCAGCACTCAGGAGGCAGAGGCAGGTGGATCTCTGTGTGTTGGAGACCTGCCTGGTCTACGGGAGCTAGTTCAAGGACAGGAGGCTCCAAAGCTACAAAGAAACCCTGTCTCGGAAAAAAAAAAAAAAAAAAAAAAAAAAAAAAAAAAAAAAAAAAAAAAAAAAAAAAAAAAAAAGAAAGAAAAAGAAAAAAGAAGTCACACAGATGAGAGAGTAAAACGTAAATGGCCCAAGGGGGTGTGATCTTCATCATCTTTATCACAAGGGGCGGGTGACACATCTGGGACGGTGACATCAGAGTTTAATAAAATAACTGGATGGATGGTGGTACCATTAGACAGAGACCTACAGCACAGACTGAGGGATTGGAGAGAAAGGGGGGGCTGCCATGTAGACACAGTTACAAGTTAGAGCTTGTCACAGCTACTGTCTGGTGTCTGGTAAGCAGTAGGGTGGCCTGGGAAACCAGGTACAAAGGTCTGTCAGCTGCCTTGCTATATTGTTTCTTCTCCTCCGGGTCCTGGAACTGCTGTGCAGGTCTGTCTTTAGACCTGTCCTCTTCTGTCCTGTCACTAGGGCTGGCTTCTCCAACACAGCTTGTTTCCCATACAGTCTTGTATCTAAAAGTTTGCCCCAGAGTTTTAACCCTATGCTGTCATTCTGAAATGTTTAAGATTTGCACAAGGAACCCCATATTTTTCTTTTGCAGTTGAATCCCATGAGTTATGTAGCTGATGCTGCTCAGAGCTGGGCCACCCCCCCGGGCGCGCCCCCCCCCCCCCCCCCCCCCCCCCAGGAATAGCATTCTGTGTCTCACTTTCCAAGCCTTTTGGATGCTTATTCTCTGGCAGGGTTTTAAGAATGAATTTGAACAGTGCCTCACAACCTTCCGTGGCGCGCAGATAAAAATCCAAATTCCACTGGGCAGGGTGGGTGCACGATCCTACGGCTTGGGATGCAGAGGCAGACAAGTGTCTGTGAGTTTGCAGTGAGGCTGGTCTCAAATAAACAAGTCCAGATGCCACGTAACCTCCTTTCTCCTCCTGTCCCTGTGCAAGGATGCTTCCCCTCCACACAGCTGCAGCCACAGCTCAGCTCTCCCCTCCCCCGGCCTGATTGAGTGTTATCTCTCCTGCCACACTCGGGGCCTGTCTGACGTCTGAGTGTCCCTCACATGGTGCCCGCCAGCCAGTGCTGATGGAATGGAATTCACTGCTTGCTGAGAGACGTGGAGCAGCTGGCCCTGTGGGAGGCACCCGGAGAGCAAGTTGGCAGCAACAGGAATCAGAGCCGGAGACGCTGGGAAGGAAGCAAGGTGGAAGATCCGCAGTCCACAGCCACAGGTCTCAGTGGGAGAGGAAGAGGTGTCTCAGTCAGGCGATACTTAATGGCATAATAATCATGCCCCCCCCCATTTGGAATGGGATGAAGGTGGACTAAAGACAAAAGTGGAATTTACTATGACGAAGCCACAAGGCAGGATCTTGTCCCATTTGTTATTTTCTCCCCTCGGCCAGTTATCTCCAGAGCAAGCTCCTATTTTCTGAGGGTTTCCGACTCGTGTTTGAGCCTCATGCTTTGTTCATGGGTGTCTTGCACTTGGAAGGCCCCTGTCAACCCTGGGTCTCTCTCTGGAACACAGCACACGCCGTATTTAGCTAACACTTCCAGAGAGCTCATGGACTGTGGCGAGTATGGGCTCGTGGCATCCTCCGCAGGAGCCCCTGGGGCTCTTGCCTGTCCCTCTGTGGGCCAGGCAGATGGAGGGGGTGGATTAACGAGTGTCCACAGTGCAGAGCTCAGAGCAAACCCATGACGAGCCCAGGCCCAGTCCTCCTGGAAGGATGTATCTTGCCCAACTCCCCCACAATTCACTGGTTTGCTCTGCACTGTAAGAGAAATGTGTGTTTGCCGACGACAGCATTTTCAGTGACGAGGTAGAAAACCCAAAGAAGTGAAAAATGGGTGGGATTTTTAAAAACTCTGTATTACACTTATGTGTTTACCGGTGGGGATGGGCACAAGCATGTCACAGCATGCATGTGGAGTTCCTGGGGGCAGAGCTCAGGTTGTCAGGGTTGGTGGCAAGCACCTTAACCAGCTGTGCCATCTCTCCAGCCTTCGTTTTGTTTTTTTAGGGTGCAGCTTCTTTCAGCTGACAGATCCAGAGCTGACCTTGCTTTGACCTTAGAGGAAGGAATAGGAACTGTTAGGAATCAAAGGTCCGGGTGGCTGCTGTGGAGTCTCTGCTGCCCTGCATCATATCAGAACTATTTATAACGGAGTCTCTGCTGCCCCGCATCACATCAGTACTATTTATAGCCTTTCTCTCCCCGTGGCCACTCCCACCTCTCCTTCCCAGGGTCTTAGAACCCAACAAAGCTGATACTCAATCCAGGAAAGAGACAGCAGTGTCACCACTGTGAAACGGTTCATTTTCTTAGAGCCAGAGTGACCTGCTCACTGTCTCACAGAACAGTGTAACCCCGAGAACTAACACCAGCCAGTTGAGTGCCTTCTCGCTCCCGTCAGGAAATTGTGCCAAAGGCCCTGTCCTTCACAGTCACCATTAGACTCCACTCTCCCACCGCCCAACGAGTCAGCCAATAAGCTTCTTTGCCACAGCTCACATAGTCTATTTTGCCCCTGAGAAGACAGTTTACCCAAGAAAAGCGCTGCCTGAGGACTGAGTCTTAGCACCCTGTGCTGAGTGGGACTGGTAGACTTCCGTCCTGACCTGGGAAGGCTGGAAGAAGGGTTGAACGGGGAGGATTTGCTCATGCAGAAAGAGGGGAAAGGCTGTAACTGAAGGAGATACTGTCCCACAGGGAGTGGGAGGAAGGAAGCAGTCCTGTGTCATTTCCTGGGAGGATGAAACCTCCTTGGTGGGGGGCAGGGAGGTTCCAGAATGCTGAGAAGATGGGGGAGGTGAGACAGAAGACATAGCACCTGCTGTGTGACACCAAGCATCACGCATACCAGGGCTAAAAATGTTTATTCTCTTTTCACCTAGTAATTCCACTTCTGGGAACTAATCTTAAAATCTAAATCCGGGGGAGGGGGAAGTAAGTATATCCACAAGAGTGTTTATCAGAGAGCTATTTATAAGAATAAAATTGGAAGCAGCCAACACATCTCAAAGAAAGGCAAATAGTATATTCAGAAGCCACCTTCAGAAACAGCACCACACTCCCGATCAATCACGCTAACACGGTAAGGGAACTGACAGCTTGCGAAACAGTAGCAGCCCTTTGTTGGCTGCTGCTGTCTTCTGCACTGACGGGGGCTTTCCATCGACTGTCCACTCACACCCCAGAGAGGGTGGGACCTTTCGTATGTCACGGATTTAGAGACGGAGGCTCACCCAGGTAGGGGGTGCACACAGTGGATTGAGCCTGAATTTCCAACAGTGTGTTCCCACTGTTACTTTCTGTGTTAGGCCCAGAGGCGGCAAGACCACCCCTGCCCTCATGGGGGAGGGGAAGGGATCAACTACAGCAATGGTTCTTTCTTAGATAAAGGAAGTACAGTTCCCCCACACACACCCGAATTTTCTTCATTTTCTAAATTAGTTTCTTTAAAGCTTTATTTCTTATTATTCAGAGAGGAAGGCAAATGGTGCAATGTGTGTGTGTGTAGGTCAGAGGACAGCTCAGTGACTTGGTTCCCCCCACCTTTATCTAGGTTCAGGGGAATCGAACTCATGTCCTCAGACTTGTACAGCAGCTGCTTTTAACCCCCTAAGCCATCTCACTGGCCCAATTTTTCTAAAATTTTCCTAATGGAACTGTGATATCTTCTGTGTCTTTTCTGGTTTTCAGTTGTCCACTGTGCTTGTCAGTCTGCAGTTAGTTTTACTTTTCCTTTCCTGCAGGTCTTGGTGAAGTTATCATCTTCCAATGCTTTTGACCTTTTTTGTGGGAGGAGTTTAGGGGAAACACGGGCTGTTTCAAGTGTGGATTTGGCAGAATTTATTTACCTTGAAGGACATTGAGGTTTCTAACTTTTTAATTGGTTTATTTTGGGTTTTTGAAACAAGGTCTCAAGTAGTCCAGGCTAGCCTTCTTTAGAAACAAAGTATTTGCTTTTCAGAAAAAAGACTGGCTTTCACAGATTGAGGGTGCAGAAAGTTCACTGCTGGACCCACATGGGAAAAGATGATTGCCATTGTTAAAATGGTGGTCTGGGGTGCATCAGTGCTACACGAAGGCCCTGGAGTTACTGCCAGGATCCAACAAAGGTGAGGATGTGGTTAAGGCAGCAGCTTCTCAGCATATCCCCCTCCCACCCATTCCTCACCTTTCCACTCAGAGTACCCCTACAGGTGAACTCACCAGGGCATGTCTAGGGCTTTTCTCCTTGAGGGAAGTTAGAGATTGGATACCCCCATCCCATCTGACAGCCACCCCTTGACAGATATTAGCATGTGGTTCTGGTGTGTATGTGTGTGTGTGTGTGTGTGTGTGTGTGTGTGTGTGTGTGTGTGTGGTATGTGTACACTCCCGGGCATGCATACACGTGTGTAAACACTTGTGGTTATGCATATGTGTGTACACTTGTGGGCATGCATACATGTGTGTATATATACTTGTGGGTATACATACATGTGTGTGTACACTTGTGGCTATGCATACATGTGTGTGTACACTCGTGAATATCCATACATGTGTGTATACATTTGTGGGTATGCATATGTGTGTGTACACTCGTGGACATACATACATGTGTGTGTACACTAATGGGCATGCATACATGTGTGTATACATTTGTAGGTATGCATATGTCTGTGTGTACACTAATGGGCATGCATACATGTGTGTGTATACATTTGTAGGTATGCATATGTCTGTGTGTACACTAATGGGCATGCATAATATATGTATACACTTGTGGGTATGCATACATATGTGTGTACACTCGTGGGTGTGCATACATGTGTGTTTATACACTTGTGGCTATGCATATATGTGTGTACATTTGTAGGCATGCATACATGTGTGTATACACTTGTGAGTATGCATGTGTGTGTGAATCCTCGTGGATATGTATACCTGTGTGCATCCTCTTGTGGGTATGCATGCGTGCATGTGTGTGCATACCAAGCATCACACAAATTAGAGTACGCTAGATAAACTACCATTGATCTACACCCCTAGCCCTTTTTTCTTGACCTTCAAGGTTTGATGCTCTAAACACAACCCAGGCTGACTGGAACTCCTGGCAGTCCTCCTCGACCTCCCTATCACTGGGATTAGCACGGTACCTCCATGCCTGGCTAAGCAGCTTGATTCTGTTTAGCTCTGGGCAAATCCTCTTCAGAAAGACAGTTACTCTGCTGCCCACAGGGCACCAGGATGCAAATGTGATTTCACTTCATTCACTTCCTCTCTTTCCCTGGAGATGTTTCAAAAGCAAATGTCATTTGAAAACCCGAGAACCTCAGCCAATTCCTTACACCTGCCCTGTGGCCTGCAGCCAGCTTTGTTGGGGGCCATGCGCTGCTGTTTCAATTATTTGAAGGAAAGGACTGGAGTTAGGGGTCCAACTGGCTGCGTGATCTTGGGCAAGCCAGTTTCTCGTCTATGGGCAGGGCTCGTGGAAGCTACCTGATAAGGTTGTATGGAGTAAATGCACTGCCATTGGGTGTCCAGTCAACCCTGCCTACATCGGAGACTAATGATGAGTCATGGGTTCAATCCATGTATCCTAGGAAGGAAGCCTTGTTGCCTTCCTTTATCCTCGCGGAGAGCTCTGTCTGAGAACCTCTGGTCCAGGCTGGAAAGCCTTCTCATTTCTCAGTCTATGAGATGGCAGCTTGAAGCCATGTAAGCAAAAAGACAAAGCCGACCATAAGCAAACACTTTTTTGAAGGCAGTTCCTAAACAAATGGAAGTCCAAACCTGTCCTGCTTCTCTGCTGGCCAGGACATTGTGTCCCATCTCCTTTTCATTTTTATCTTACTCGGATCTCTTCCGCTTAGCATCGGCAGCCAGAACACCAATCTGTCCCCAAGAGGAAAGGCATGAACTCAGTGAACCTCAAAGACTATGTTCAAGATGTGTTATTGGAATCAAAAGCTGGGTGTCGCACACCTGTATTCCCTTGGGAGGGTGAGGCAGGTGGATTGCCTGGAGTGTGAGGCCAGCTGAGTTTCATATTGAAAATTTTATCTTAAAGACAAAAAAGGGGATGCTGGAGTGATGGTTCATTGGATGCAAGCACTGGCTGCTCTTCCAGAGGACCCAGGTTCAATTCCCAGCACCTACCTGACAGTTCACAATTTTACCTTTAAACTTGAGTTCTAGGGAATTTGATGCCTCTGGCCTCTGAGGGTCACACACCACCGCCCACACAATACACATGATTAAAAATATAAAGGTAAATTTTTAACAGCAACAAAAAAGAAATTAAAAAGAAAACCCACACTGCATTCATGAAAACAGCCAGGAGGTAAATCCCTTGTAGCAGATGTGACTGTTGTTTATCCCATGTTGTACAAGTGCCTGTAGCAAGAAAGCAAAGCCGGAAGTTCAGGCACAGGAGCAGAGCCGTGGAGAGCAAACCCAGTGGGAAGCCCAGTAGACTGCCTCAACTTCCCCAGTCAGTCTGCTGGGTACCTGATTTGATGATAACGTCTCTATCTGTCCCTTTTTGTTCTTGCTCATGTAGACCTCACCAGACGGGACAATTCCCTCTGCCCTGGATCTCTTGGGGGGGGGGGAGCTCCAGTTTTTCCACTTGATATCTGCAGATGTTTTGCTATCTATCCACCCATCCATCATCCCTTGTTATTTGTTCTTTTATTCTGGCTGGCTGTATACTTAATAAACTCACTCATTCACAACCTAAAGTGTAGCTGTGCTATCATTGCCTGGACTGTACGGAACAAAGGAAGATGACAGAAATGATAAAACTGACCACGTGAGGTTGTTTGTCAGGCTGAAGAGGAGGATCTGAAGCTGGACACCCAGCACAGTGTTTGCCACTCAGTAAACACTCATAAGTGAACTGAATATTACTTGTATAGCTGGGCTGTATAGCATGGCAGCATTTGCCTGTAATCCTAGTGTGTGGGAGGTGGAGGCAGGAGGATGAATAGTGAGGGGTCAACTTGGACTACACAGTGAGACCAGATATCAAAAGCTATAGGAGGAGGAAGATGGTTTAATGGACAATGTGCTTGCCATACAAGCTCAAGGACTGCAGTAAGAATCCCCAGCACCCAGGTATTGCTGGGTGGATCGAGTGCCTGCCTGCAATCCTAGGTCTCGGGAAGCAGAGACAGGAGATCCTCAGGGCAATCTGCTAGCTAATCAACTAGCTATGGGTCCAGGGAAAAGCTCTACCTCAGTACGTAAAGTGGAGAGCAATTGCAGAAGACCCCAGGCATCAACATCTGGCACCTGCAAATGTGTGTCCGACACGTGGGCAAGAGTTTGAATGAGAACAGCCCCCAAAGGCTGATAGGCTTGAATGCTTGGTCCTAGGATAGTGGAACTGTTGGGGAAGGATTAGGAGGTGTGGTCTTGCTGGTGTAGGTGTGGCCTTGTAGAGGAGGTGTGTCACTCGAGATGGGCTTGGAGGTTTCAAAAGCCCATACAAGGCCCAGTGTCTCTCTCTCTGCCTGCTGCTCAAGGATCAGGATGTAAAACTCTCAGCAACTCCATGCTCCAGCACCATGCCTTTGGGCTTTCTGCAGTGATGATCATGGGCTAGTCCTTGAAAACTGTAAGCAAGCCCCCGATTCAATGTGTGCTTGTTTGCTTTCTTTTTTTCAGTGTATTTTGTTTTTCTTACTTACTTATTATTT